GGAAAATTAAAATTTGAGAAACTTGAATTTGCATTATTGAGTTTGGCAGCTTTCCAAAACTTATTTTTTTGAGAAGATCATGGATGAGAATAATGACTTTTTAAAAAATGCATTAGTCCGTGTTCACAGTACATAAAGATTACACTCCTGCGGAGTTGGTGTATGCACACAGCATAGCTTAATGCTTTTCTCGTCCCTTTTCCTTCCCCAGCCTCCCCCTCTCCCTCCATCTTTTGATTCCCTTCCCATTTGAGAAAAAAATCTATCTCCCTGCTTCCTATTATCTATGTTTTGTTTTCTATTTATATTTTGAATTCCCATATAGTAGAAACCATGTGATATTAAAACTGGAGTGTCTCATTTATTTCACTTATTATTATGGTATCAAGTTGCATCCATTTTCCTAAAACTGACTGAAGTGTATCCTTCTTTATGGCAGAGTAGTACTCCATTGTGTACTTTTCTCTAGCCATTCATCTGCCTGGATATATGGGCTGTTTCCCAGATTTAGCTACTATAAATTGTGCTGCTATAAACATGGGTATGCATGTATCACTGCAATATGATATATTTAATATTTTTAGGAAAATGCCTAAAAGGAAAATAGTTGTGTTGGATAGAATTTCTAATTTTAGTTTTTTGAGGAATCTCCATACTGATTCTCATAGTGGTCGCATTAATTTACCTTTCTATCAAAATGTAGAAGAGTTCCTCTTTCCCCGCAGCCTCACTAGCATCTGTTATTGTTTGATTCTGTGTGATAGCCATTGTATCTGGAATGAGATAGAATCTCAATGTTACTTTAATTTGCATTTTTCTAATATGTATTTATTGGCCATTCATATTTCTTCTGGAAAGTGTTTATTCATTTCACTTGCCCATTTTTCCATTTTTTGATTTGGTCTTTTATTTGGGGTGGTCTAATATTTTAGAGTTCTTTATGTATTCTAGATTGAAGTCCTCTGTCTTAAGAATGGCTGGCAAAAAGTGTTCTCATTCTGCAGGTTGTCTCATCACTCTGTTGGTTGTTTCTTTTGCTGTACAGAAGCTTTTCAATTTGATCGCATTTGTTGATTCTTACTACTATTTCTTGTGCAGTGGGATTGGATTCAGAAAGTTCTTGCCTATGCCTATGACTTTAAGAATTTAACCTATTTCATCTTCAGGTTGTTTCTGTTTTAACAGATCTTTTCCAACTTTAATTTTATGCAATATGCTCATGCCATATTTACAAGATCTGGATAACTCATTGAACCAGTGTCTTTCCATCAACCAGATCATGATGATACAAAACCATGATTGATAAAAGATCCATTCAAAGTTGAAAATCAACCTATGGATTTTAATATATCAGAGTAAGAATGTGTATGACATGGGGTAAGACTCATCATTGTGATACTCGTCAGGAGAAACTTTGTCCAGTTTGAAGATAGAATGACCAAGCAGAGTATCTAGAGTTGCCTGAAAATGCTCTTAAGTTATTCTTTCTTTTTAGACCTGTATATCTGTGGGAGGCCTTTTTCACATACTTAATCAAAACAGCTGAATGAATTCAGAAGCAGATAAGAATATAAAGTATTTTCTATTAAGCCAGACACTTAAGAGTTTTACAGAAATTTAAAATACTCACACTATTTGGGTAATTAGTTTTATTTTAAAACACTATTTCTGTTAGCATGAAATGATTTTATTATTTTAACATAAAATTAGTATTCAATAATGTAAAAGGCTAATATTTTTCATAGCAATACTTAACAGATACAACCCACGTGAATACAGTTGGGTGAGACAGTCAGCCGTCGTGTTTTTATCTTTTTACCTGTCATTTAAAATCCAAGTGGCATGTCTGCAAAGTGGTTATGAAACATAGTCATAGAAATCTTCTTCCTCTGTGCCTACTTAGTTCTTTTCTTCCTTCTCTCACAGGATTCATTGTAGTCATTTTTTACTGTTATCCTAATTAAATGGTGAAGTTCTATAGAAAGTTATATTTTCCATCTTTGACTTGTCTACACTTTAACTAAATGAACTGTTTATGGATTGCATCCTGAAATAAAAGTAAAATAATTAACAATATCATCATTTGGCTATGTTTATATTTGGGTATTAATTCTATCATTTATCAGACCCTAACAATTTAAAATGTTGATCATGGCACTGATTGATTTGAATTTGAACAACCTAAGTTATTTTCAGGTAATTTCTTCCTCAATTCAATTTGTCATATTTATTTAAAATTATTAATTTTATTTATGCCAGTAAATTTTGATCAGTATTTCCTGATTTTACAGCCATGTAAAAAATCAGTTTTTCAGAAATGCATATTGAATTTCTTTTAGACTATTTTAGCAAGCAGGCTTGTGATTATTTGAGACAAAAACAATAATTATTAGATAATGACATTACATGTGACTTAAATAAAGAATGAGTTACTTCATTTAAAAATACTTTTCCTAACATTCCACTTTTGGTAATATGACAAATGAGATAATCATGAAGAGCCATCATGCTTCAAAATCCTTAGAAATTTCATTCCATACCTTCTCAGACAAGAAACTTCACCTTTCTGAATTTGCACATAACTGCCAAGGTGCCACAGATATGATTTGGTGTTCCAAATTTTAGCACATAACCTGCTAATACAGAAAACTGAATCAGCAAACCTGCAAATGCAGAAATTGCTAACCTGCAAATACAGAAATCATGAACATAAAGATCAATCTAACCCAAAAAATTGTAACAAATTGAATGATTTTCCTTGACAAATAAATTTTAGCAAAAGTTTCCATTCTGATATATACACTTCTCCATTTCCACACATACTAATATTTCAACTTATTCTTTTTGCCTTCGATTTTTGTTTATGTGCTTTTTTATAAGGACATTTGTCTAACTCACATACTACAATGTTAAATAAAAATGGGAGCACTTGCTAACTTCTTACCATATTGTATGTTAAAGATACTAATGTATCACTGCCATTAATACCCCTCAAAATACTTCCTTTTGCTTCAAACACACTTATTCCATTGTTCTTGCCACTTTCTAAAGTAGTTCTGAAAATACTTTTTCATAAGTGTGATTACTTGTGCTGTCATGCCAGCCTTGATAATTCAAATCAATTCCAGACTTTTGCCATTCAAGGTCACTTTAACTTTAGGGAAGAGTCACAAGCCATACTATGCCAGAGCATGTGGATAAGGTGGATGAAGACACATCATAATGTGTTTAGTTGACAAAAATGGCCATACACATTTGGTCAATTCGAGTGATCAGTAAATATGGTGAATGATTAAATTTTAAAACTTTATTATAATAAAAGACATACTGGTATTAATTCCTATCAAAATACTCCCCCCTTACTTCTGACACACATCCCATAATTCTTGGCAATGTGTCTTTCATTGTAATAAGTTTTCTAAAATTTAAATTTCATCATAGTTTTTCTCACCCTCTGTATATACAAAAAAAATTATATATATATATGTATATGTATGTATCACTTGACTTTGACTTTCCATATTCATGGGTGCCACATCTGTAGATTCAAGTGACCATATATCAAAACTATTAGAAAGTTGTGTGTAGGGCTGGGGATTTATCTCAGTGTTTCACCCACCTGCCTCACAAGTGCAAGGACCCAAGTTCGATCCCAGATACCAAAAAAAAAAAAAGTTGTGTTCCCATTGAATATGTACAGGCTTTTTTCTTGTCAGTTTTCTGTAAGCAATATAGTATGACAACTGTTTATATAGCATTTATGTTATATTAGCTATTATAAGTAATCAGGTTTATTTAAATTGTATGGGAAGATACGTGAAGGCTATATGCAAATACTATGCAATTTTAATGAAGAATTGAGGGTCCTCTGATTTAGGTATTCATGTGGTGTGGGGGCAAGGCTAAAACCAACCCCTCATGGATATCAGTGGACAAATATGCGTGCAGATAGATTATGCCATCAAAAAAGTTGAGATTTGTATTTATTTAGTTCCTGTGTTTATCAAAATACTAATTAGCAAAATAATTTCCAAAATTATCAATGAGAATTCCAAATTTGGAAAAGATAAAATTATAGATAGGCAAAAATAATGAATTTATTATAGAATACCGTAGATATGACATTACAGGATGCCCTAAAATGATATTAATAAGTTGTTTATTATGCTAGCTATTTCTCCTGCTTCCTGCTAACATTGATCCAGAAATAGAAAATATTTTAAATTAAAAGAAAAACAAAAATTTAGTATGTTGAAAAGTGCATTCGAATAAATTAAATCACACCAGCTTATTAATCATTAAAGATTATTATTACAAAATTATTGATTAAACTACATGATGATGTGTTTCAGAGTAGCTGGAAAAGTAAATATTTTCCCAATTCTGTTGCCTGTGAGGAAAAATAAGATGTACAAGTTATAGTAGAAGTTTTACCAAAAAAGCATTAAAAGCAAGTTTATTAAGTGTATATTAATTTCCAGATGAATAAAGAGTTTAAAATTTTGGGTCCGTAAGTCATGGGTTGACCTTGATATGAAAAGTAGTGTGCAGATCATGGTTTATGTTAAATAACTCAAAATTTTAGATCAATCTTGCCAGTAGATAGGTGTCAATTCCCCAGGGCTATAGTCCTCTCAGAATTTGCATGATAGGTGGGAGTTGGGAGAGATAGTAAACCCAGTCCATATTCAATAGATATCTAGCAATAATCCTCTTTGTATCACAATTGCTACTGTTTTCTGGGAATAAAATTTTATCAAAAGTATAGAGTCCATGGAGCTAGATAATATTACAGTAATAGATAAAATTACAGTAAACAATAAGGTCAAAAAGGAAGATACTTTAAATGTTTTATGTATTGTTTTTGACATTTAATTAAAAATTAGTAAAATTATCCATTTCAAAGTGATCTAAGATAGTGATACCCTGATTATTTGTTTAAGCACTACAATATAAAATATATACTGCATACTGACTTAAAAATACTTTTTTCTTTTAAGGTAACTGAATTGCACAACATCAAAAATATTACCAGACTTCCTCGAGAGACAAAGAAGCATGCAGTGGCAATTATTTTTCATGACGAAACATCCAAGACATTTGCCTGTGAGTCAGGTAAGCAATTACAAGCCTTTCTACAGCTTGAGGAAATTTACTCTTTCTGAGACAATGAGTCAGAGAGATGAAGGTACATTCTGGATAGCATGGCTTTTAGTAATGAGAAGTGTTTTTGAAGACTTTAGGAACAAGTTTAACATAGTGATTTCTACAGAATTTTTGGGTGCTTGGTGTTGTGTGCCTGTGTCTGGATTTTGTACTCAAGTGGTCTCAAGATCTGCATGTTTCTGTTCAAGCTTTGACAATTAAGTAAACAATACCTGGGAGACATTGTTAGGGTGAACATGTCACTTGTACTCTGGTTTTTGCTGTGGATAGCTAGCTGTAGGTATTTGGGGAGGCAATAATAACAGTGCCGTCTAAAATATGGCCAAGAACAGCCTAACTCCTCAGGTGTTTCAAAACAGAGCTTTGAGCAGTTTGTTGCTTTCATGGTTTCTCAGTGCTACAAGTAAATAGACTTCAGTTTGAATTTTAATATATCAGCTCATAAACCACTCTGATATTATTGAGACTCAATTAGTTTGTGGTTTGAACTTCAGTATTTTTCCACATTGTAATCCTTGTGCAGTACTGTATTAGTTGACCTATTGCTTTTTAACGATTTTGCTCCATGAAATAGTCAATTTATTTTATAATGGATGTGAGCAAAAGATACAAAGGATTTGAAATAGATGAATTTAAAACAATAGTGAAGTCTTTAGAAAAAGCTTTATTATTTTTAAGGGGAAAATAAAGTTTCTGGTTAAACTTCATTGCTGTAATTAATACCAAGGTATATTATCCTAAGACTGACAATTTCACTCTACCTAAATAAAATTGCTCCCATTTCCTCACCTACGCTTACTGTACTTTTGCTAATTTGATCTGAAATTCATCAAAATCTTCCTCTTTCTCTGAGTTCCTTGATCCTCCTAGCATATTTTCCTTCACTTGACATCTGACCTCATCTTGTCATTTAAATAAATTTTTGGAGTTGCATAGAAGTCTATTTATTGGTAAAAATAAACTTACTTTGTAAGAGAACTTTTTTTAACTTTATGGCTAAAATATATTATCACCCAAAAGTATCTCTGACTTCTTACTGCCTTAAAACTGACCACTTCATTTTTCTCTGGGATCTTAAATATATAATATTAATGTCTCACATTAAAACTAGTAACAGCTACAAAATTGTTTTTTAGAAAAAGACAAAGCAAATTTTTGTTATATTAATTTTTAAATTTTCACTATTTTTTACATTTTTGAAGTTATACTGAGCAATATTATGGATGTTTTAGTGAGTCTGGAATCTGCTATTTCAGAAACAATAATTATATTTATTTAAGTAAAAAAGTTTTTTAGATTTTCTTTGAAGAGATATGTCTGTTTCATTACTTCATTATTCAATATATTACCTTCGTCACTCTGATTTTTACTGAGATTACAGTGCAAACACAGTTGAATGTAATTTTATGTATTTGTGCAATTAGTTTATCTGATTTAAATTTTTATAAACCATTCTTTACTTCTATCTTAACTTTCTATCAGTTTTTAAAAGTTAATTCTATGACTATTATAAAGCACATAATACTAATCCCTTTCAAATTTTAAATTCTAGAAAATTGAGAATATCTGTGTATGATACACATGAACCATATATAAGTGTGCATCATATATATGCATCTAATTTTTTTCTTGTTGCTTCATAACATTTTTGATATCACTTAACTATTCTCTTCTTTACGGGTCATAGGACATATACCAGTGGGCCAGAAAACAGCATTCTTATTTCCATTCTGATACTTAAAGTGATTTTAATGAAGATGCATTATTTAGATACCACACATACTATTATGTTCACATCATCCCAACTGCCTAGAATAGAAATATTCTTCTCCATAATGTATTGATATTTTTACATAAATTCAGAAGCCCTCATTCACGTACATCAGATTTAACAGTACCTGTGAACCTGCCTGTGCTATTTGATATTCTTAAGTGTGACTTCAGGAATGTTGTTGAACTATGCACAACAGACCACCAGGGTGTTCAAGACAGCGAGTTTGTTACCAGACCCGTAGCAACCAGCTCTTCCAGTCCTGGTGCTATGGTCTCAGTGTTGCATCTTCACTTAGGGTTCATCATAAACAGAACACACTTCTCCCTGAATCAGCTGAATGTGTGCATTTTAAAATTTATAGGAAGACCATAAGGACTTAGCATCTTAAAATAAAATCACAGAGTACACCTACCATCCAGATCTTAGTTTCTAATAGTAGGAATCAGGGATTCTTGGAGAAATGACTGATTCTAAAACTGGGGCAGGAAATATATAAGATGAACTTAGAGCATGTAGCAGTGCCAGAAAGTATGAAAGTATTTTTTTTTTAATTAGAGTATGTCAAAGGGACATAGAAGTTCCCAGAGGTCAAAGCTGTTGGAAGCCATAAGAAAAAAATGACCAAAAAATTAAATAGTACGTGATAATTATCCAAGTTATGAAATATTTATAAGCCAATACTGATATAAATGCTTAAATAAATACATGGGAGCAGACAGATAAATATCCCATACAGAAGAATTTCAAATAATTTATACAAATATCATGCCGTCAGTGAAATAGTGTGTAATCTCCAATCCTTAAGTAAGAGCCGTTCTCTAGGATTTCCTTCTAAAGGGAGTAGTATAGAAAGTAATGGGGTATGAGAGAATAATTAGAGTAGAAAAAACTAACAGGTTTTTCCTCAGAAAGATCAAGGTCAACATCATCAAAAAACCAGAAACTTGTTCTTGGCAAACACTTAGGTATACTAAAAAAAAAGGAGACTAAAAATCACAGATGAAAAAGGAGACTTTATAATTAACATCATAGAAGCACAAGGATTATTAGGGATTATTATGAACAACTATATGTGAACAAATTTGATAAAATAGAAAATAGACAAATTGCTGGTAGCATACACTCTACCAAGATTGAATAATAAAGAAATAGAAAATATGAATAGATCAACAATGAATAACGAGATTAAATGAGTATTCAAAACTATTCCATCGGAGTTCTAGTAGTTGAGTTGAGCTCTACTATTTAAAGAAATACTAGTACCAGTTTTTCTTAAATTATTCCTAGAAATTTAAAGAGAATTCTCTCAAACTCATTCTACTCTCATTCTACAAGGCTAGCATCTCAGGGATACAAGGATGGTTCAACATACATAAATTGATAAATATGATATACTACATCAACAAAATGAAGAAAAAAACCATGTGATCATCTTAATAAAGTCCCTAGATGAAATTCAACATTCTTAATGTTTAAAAATCCTGAACAAATTGGATGTAGAAGGTATATACCTCAACATAATGTAGACTATAACAAGCCAACAGAGAACATCACAGTGAATTGGGAAAATCTTGAAATTCACTCTCTAATATCTGGAACAAGATAGAGATGGCCATTTTACCACTTTTATGGAACATAGTACTGGAAGTTTTAGCCACAGTGTTCAACCAAGTAGAAGAAATAATGGCATCCAAAGAGGAAGTCAAATTGTATCTGTTTGCAGATAATATGGTATTATATAGAGAAAATCTCAAAGGCTCTAACAAAAAATAAAAACATTACAACTAATAAATGAGTTTAATAAAGTTGCATGATACAAAAGCAATGTACAAACATCAGTAGTGGTGTTGTGTGCAAAGAGCCAGTTATCTGAAATAGAAATCAAGAGAGCAGCTTGAAATAAAACAGCTATAAAAAAATTAAGTACCTAGGAATAAATTTAACCAAAGGGATGAAAAATCTCTATAATTAAAAATTATAAAACATTGATGAAACTAATTTAAGAGAACATATACAAAATATGAAAATACATCAGTGTTATGCAGTATAAAAATATTATTAAAATATCTATACTATCCAAAGTAATTACAGATTCAATACAGTCTCTGTCATAATGCCAATGGCATTATTCATAGAATTGGAGAAATAATCTCCGTATTTATAGGGATCCATACACGGAAAAACACTCAAAGAAATCTTGAGCAAAAAGAACAAAGTAGAAAGCATTATAGGACTTGACTCCAAAACATACTGGAAAGCTGTAATAATGAAAACAGCATGAAATCACCGTAAATACAGACACAGAGAACAGTAGAACAGAATTGAGAGTCTTGAAGTAAACCCACACATCTACAGCCAATTGATTTTTGCAAAGGTCCTATGTGCACATACTGGATAGAGGTCAGTCTTTTTAATAAATGGTGTTGGGAAAATTGAATATTCACATGCAGAAGATTGAAATTAGATGCTTATTTCTCATCAATATAGAGACCACCTCAAAGTGAACCAGAGACTGAAATATAAAACCTGAAACTTTGAAACCACCACAATAAAAAAAACCTTAAGAAAATGCTTAAGGACATTGGAATAAACAGGGATTGCAGGGAAGGGGTAGGATGGGGAAGGCAAGGCCCCAGAGGAGAAGAAACAAAAGCAAAAAAGACAAATGTGATTAATCAGGCTAGAAATCTTCTACATAGCAAAGGAAACAATCAATAGGTAAAGAAACAGTCTACAGAATGGGAGAAAATATTTGAAAACTATATATGTGACAGATTGATATCCATATTTAAGGAACTCCAGAAATTAATTAATTAATTCATATATAGGCAATTGACCAAAATAGACACTTCTCAAAAAGATGCACAAATGACCAACAGGTTCATGAAAACAAGCTGAATCTCACTAATCATTAAGGAAAATCAAATCAAACTTCAATGAAATATTACCTCACCCCAGTAAGAATGGCTATAATCAAAAAGACAATAAGTTCTGGTAAGTAAATGGAGAAAGGTTACTGTACTGGAAGGAAGTGAAATTCCTACAGCCATTATGGTAAACAGTATAGAAGTTCCTCAAGAACTTGAAATAGAGCTTCTGAATGATTCAGCAGTTCTACCGCTGGGTATATGTCTAAGAGAAATAAAGTCTGTGTTGGGAAAAATATCTGAAACCC